CGCAGGAGGCGGCGGGAAAAGGGGGCTCGGGTGGGAATGGGGGCAGTGGAAACTGTGGGTTAAAAAATAAGAAATAAATAAAGTAAAATAAAGTTAAATTAAATTAAATAATTAAAAATAAGAAATGAATATGTCCTTTGTTGCTGTCCCGACCATTGTCACCTGCAAAGCAGCGGCATGGGTGAGAGGTGTCTCCTGTGACTGTTAGTGCTTTATTTGCCGATTTTCCAGGCTACATAAATCAGGAGACATTCAGCACACATATGGTGGGACATGTGTTGAAGGTGCCTTAAGCTCCACTTGGCATGTGTTTCGACCCTCATCTTTCATAACACGCTTGTAGCTAATGGTGTTGCCTTGCAGTCTTGCAACCGGGCCAAGATTTGGGGGGATATCTGGGGAAAACTCAATGCAAGGCCAGCGCTTTCAAAGTCACAGACCTCTACACCACAGACTACCACAGACCTGTTTTGAGCTGTGGCCACCCAGGAGAAACAACCTTAGTGCTTAAAGGTGATCCGCAACAAGGTGCCAAATGAGATTCTTAATTAAGGTTATAAGTCTCTTCTTCAAAACTAGGGGTTAAGAAGGCTCTGGAAAGTGGCGAAGGAGAGGGGACTTACGCTCTGCTGTGCTCTCTGTTACCAGAATTTTGACTAAACAGATTACACTGAAAAATCTATGTGGTGTGCAGTAACTAAGGGCTTTTTCACATGTTTGGGAAATGTTCAGGACAACAGCAAACAACTTACAAAATCTCAAAATGAAAGCCATCCACCAAAGAACATATATAAATGAACGTGATAAAATTAAACTTTATTCCTTGATACTTCAAACGAACAGCATTTGGCCAGCGAAGGTTGTCCCATACCGGGGACACGGGTGGCCCAGCATGGCCTGCAGGCCCAGACAGGCTGTGCAACATGGGACCATACCTGGATCCACATTTCCTGGATCCCAAACACCTCCATGTGTTTTCCAGCTGGGATCGCTACAAAAATGAGTGTCTTGCTACGTAATGCTCTCAGTCTTTAAATATCATCTGTTTCTTCAAGCCAGTATATGTCAATGCTTTTTCAAAGTTTTGGGCTGTTTGGGGATGGAGATTGAAACAAACAACTATTAAAATGAACATTTTTTCTCACGACCAACAAAAAGGGGTTTATTGAAAAATATAAGCATGACACATCTTGCGAGAAACCCACGATGATGCTTGATGAAATGTGTTTTTCCTCACGGAAACATCAAGCGAGCCAGGGTCTGCAAGCCCTGTCTCCTCACTGCTTCCTGCCTACATTTGCCCAGTAGCATTTTGCACAGCTTTTAGCAGGGATCAAGGCAGTGTTTAGATACATCTGAACCACTAGGGGCCCTCACAAACCTATAGCAATAAAAATGACTAATATGCTAGGAACATCACAAATAAAGACTAAAAAGAACCCTTAAATAATCCAGCCTGCTGCCCTTTCGTGGTGGTCAGGATCTGTAGATGGTCCCATGGCAGAGGTTCTCCATCCAGTTCAGGAATCTCCATAAATATGAGTTTAATTCTGAATGTGTTTTAATTCTGAATTATTTTACAAACTGAGCTGATTTCCTGAGTCATGATCTAAATTGAGCAGACAATTCAAAGTGTGAAGGATTATTTAACCTTTTGGGCAATTACACACTTTGGAAGAAAACTACTACAGAACAGGCTGGTGTTGGGCTGAGATGCAGTACAGAAAGTGACACACTGCTTAAAACACTGCCACGTAATTAGAAAATGATTGTGCTGGGGGAAAAAAAGAAGAAGAAAGAAAAAAAATAAAAGGGCCTGCAGTTAGCACAGTTCTTGTGTTCTTTGCTTTTCAGAGTCTTTCCAGGAGACACTTCATATATTGCTTTTCTCAGTTCATTAACAGTACAATATATTTAGCTCTTGTCACATATGTAAAAATGGTAGTATACATTTATGCAGCAGGCACTTATACTTTATTATTCTTGTGTTTATTTGCATCATTATTCTTACATTTGGAGAAAGAGCCCTAATTTATTATTTTTATTCTGTAGTATATTCACGAGGTATATTGCTTGACTTTGAGGTGCTCATTTTTCTCCTATTTATAATGACTAATAACACCTCTTTGTGGGGCCCTGAAGCATAATCCACCCAGTCTTTCCTATCTGTCTGCATATTTCTGGCTGTAGCAATTAAACTTGATGTAAATGTTTATAGTCATTAGAGCCATATCCAATAGAGCCAGTTTCAGAAAGAAAACATAGGACAGGAGTCAGTCACTGCAAGGGGCTGGGAGAAGGCAGGAGGAAGCTGAGGAGAGAAGTCCTTGGAGGTGCCTGTTCACACGGGCAGAGGAGCGGCCAAACCTGTGCCCGTGTCCATACCACTCAGCCACTCATGCTGACAATCCCTGCACTTTTCTTCTGGGAGGAATCCAGCATGGGCCCAAATGGATAACACCTGCATGAACTTTGAAGTTGTCAAACCAAATTCATCCCCAATCTAATTGCAAGTTCACATCAAAGATAAATTTATCCTCATGCTTTATTATTTCAGTAGCACCAGATTTCTCACATAGGAGAGACATGCAAAGTGAAAATTAAATTGTCACTTCACCATGTGTCTGTAGAACCATGAGTAACCGTTTTGACCTTCAAAAATCAAAGCAATAGAAGCATTCCAGAAACACCAGATGGAGAAGCAGGAAGCCACCTTCTCGGCAAGCAGATATCACTGCCATCCCACAGGCTTCAGAAAGGTGACACTGCTCCACACCAACCCCAATGGTGTCAATGGTTTCTATGCTATATCTGCTCATCAACACGTCCTTGTTAATACAAGGAAATGATACATGATTTCCTTTAAGAGGACCAATGTGGAGGTGAAACGGTGCAAATTTGTCTATAGTACTCTCCTGACATAGTAGGTCAGTTCCAGAAATAACCCCAGGCACCAAGACAGATTAGGGGCTGACCTGCTGGAAAGCAGCTTTGCGGAGAGGGATTTGAGAGGCTGACAACAAGTTAACCATGAGGCAGCACTGTGCCCTCATGGCCAAGAAGGCCAATGGGATCCTGGCCTGCATCAGGAGGAGCGTTGCCAGCAGGTTGAGGGAGGAGATCCTGCCCCTCTGCTCAGTTCTGGTGAGGCTGCACCTGGAGTGTTGTGTGCAGTTCTGGGCTCCCCGGTACAAGAGGGACGAGAAGGGTCCAGCATAGGGTGACAAAGATGATTAAGGGACTGGAGCATCTATCATATGAGGAAAGACTAAG